TTTCTCAGGATCTTCCTAGGAAGAAAACCCTCCCGCATCGGCCAAAAGCAGCAACGTTTCCTAATGAATTTTCCTTCACTTGAATTTGTGTGACGTTTGCTGGGTGCCATTTGTTTTGATTTTCCTGTCCCCCGCTGGTTTTTTAGGAGGGACACAACCGCTGGCGCTGCCGTTGTTCTTTGGATTTGTGCACGTGTGTGTTTTGAAGCCTTTGATGGGAGCAGCTGCCCCGTGGAACGCTGGGCTTTGCTTGGGGGGTCTGATATTACCAACACTTTGGATTTTAGAGCCGTTCTCGGAGGGCTGCAGGTTGAGCAGCTGTTGCTTTGCAGCTGGTTTCTTTCTCAGTTCGCTCCTCGCGTCCCCAGCCTGTCTCTGAGGAGGTGCTGCACACCCCGTTCTCTCCGCCGGCCTCCAGTGACCTGGATGAGAATGTAACTGGCGACTTCCCTCCCAGTGGGGATCCCCCCTGGGACCCAAGCAGCTCCTGGGCAGCTTGGCAACACTATCCTGGGGCACCACTTGCCTGCTGGGCACAGGGCTGAGCAATGCCTTGCCTTTGCCAGGGCTCTTCAGGGCACGGGTGGAGCCGGGAGCAGTCTGGGGCCGGCCCTTGGCTGCCTTTGCCCTCTCGTTCTGCACCGTCTGCATCTGCAGCCACTCCAGCTGCACCAGGCGCTCCAGGTATTTCTCCAGAAATCCCGTTGGCTTCGGCCGGAAATCGGTTTTCCCTTCCACGTGGACAAAGATGGCCAGCTGCTTCAAGTCCCAGGAGTTGAAAGGGGGTGGGAGGAAGTCTGGGTAGTAATATTCTGATTCTTTAAAACCCATTTCAGGGACGTGTTCCAAACAGTCGGGATCGATTTCTTCCGCTCGGAGAATGAGTTCCGGTGGAGTGCAGGGAGAGGGGGGAATGGGAATCCTTTCTGAATCAGAGAGGTCACTGGCACTATCATCTTCAGCATCTTCTTTAATAATCTGTACTGATTCAAAATCAAGAAACATTTCACTTACAGATGCTTCTTGCCATTTAGAAGGGCCTGGACTGGCTCCAGCAACATGTTCTTCGTGATTCTTTTCCAACTGTTCTTTTTTACTGCAGTAAAAATGTTGCACTGGGACATCTTTAACCCTACAGAAGTTTCCTTGTGTGCTGCCCTTTGTGCTTGGAGGGATCCTGTGCAGCAAAGATTCATTCTGCCTTCTTTCTGGGAGACTCCTCTTTGGTCCTTGCACACTGTGCAGTGATGGGCAAACACTCGGGATCCTGAAGGAGAAGAATGATCATGTCCTGTCACAATGGCTAATTCTTTGAACATCAGTTTGCAAAGGTCTTGCCACCCCCTTCAAGGACAGGGATTTACACAACTGAAGCTAAAACTGGCACAGAAACTCGAGGCAAAATTAATATTTGCTGGTAGAGATAACACTTCCTACTACTGATTTATTTTATTTTATTCACTAAGGCAGGACAGTAAGTTTCCATATTGATAACTTAGATTTGTTGTCCTCATAAATGCTGAACTCTGGGGCCAGTGAAGTCAAAAGCACAACACAGCAGCCATGATTTAATCACAAGCATTTAATAAACCAGTCTGAAATGACAGCAAATTAAAGAGACAATCTGAACATAAAACTACCTTTTGGATTGAGTGCTGCTGTCCAGCTGGTTTCTTCCCTTCTTAAGAACATTTGGTTGGTTACCATCTTGAGTGTCAGGGGAAATCTGAAGAGATATGAGAGTATGTGATGTTATTAAGAAGCTGACTTAAACTAGGTACTCTTCTTATGTTAAAAAAGGGATTCTTTACCTTTTCAATGGCACTTGATACATTTTTGCCCAATCTTCCAGGAGAAGATTTCACATAAGAAATTGGTTTATTTAGTCCTTTGGTGCTTGGATGGCTTTTTCCATTGCTGTAACTGTGAAGAATTAAACAGAATATCACTTACAAATAGCAACATACATGACCATCAGAAAGGAAATACAATAAAAGCTTAGAATGCAATTGAGTTTAGAAAAGAGAATTGATTGCAACTATTCTTAAAGTTCACAGAACTCTGCCATGGTCACTTTTTACTTTTATACTATTAATGCCCTACTGTATTTTTAATACTATTAATGCAATAGTGAATAATTCTATCAGATAATATAATAATGGAGTGTAGCCCTTATATAGAATCCTCTGCCAGAGTATCTCAAAATTACTTTTGGGATAATAAAGAATAGATATTAGAGATCAGATATTTAACTACTGATTTCCATAATACCTGAAACTGCAATTTAACCAAAGTTATTATAAAGTACAATATAAAGGTAACTGCAAGTCAAATTTTGCTTGTCTCCCTCCTTTGCATACTGGAAACAAAACTTAAAGGATTATTCCTTTGAAGTTAAGGAGTGGAAGTAAGCAGGGAGCATAACGTCTATTCTCCTACCAATACAAACTATTTTACAAAAGGCACAAACTCACTATTTCATGTTATAATGGGGTCGTGACAATGTTAGCAGGAGAAAAAACTCACATGTGAGCAAAGGGAATGGCATTACTGATCTGGGCAGCTTAAAACTAAAACACGTAGTTCCTCAATTAAACCAGATACATTCCTGTGTAAGCACACAGAATGAATAAATCAATGTATTCTGTAAGAATCAGAGAACAGTGTATGTTCTACAAACAAGAAATATTGCTGATTTTAAAAAGAAAAGCTTTAAAATACCATTTCAAAACAGGAATAAACAAAGTGTGCCCTCCCAGTCTAATTTAGCGTGACTGCAGTTCAGTTAATTTGCCAGGATGTACATCTTGTTTTCACAGTTTTTATGCCAGTATAGTTAAATTTTGTTTTTTAAAAAACCTGATTTCATAAATTCAAGAGTTTATAAAAGAATTAAACTACGTCCCGTGCCTCCAGCATTGCTGCAGTCACCTCTGTGACTTTGTGACCTGCGTGATCATCCTGCACAATCATTCCTGCTGCTGTGGGTCAGGGCAGAGGATGGCAATCTCAACAGTACAGCCAGGCACTTATTAACTCATCTACAGTATTTTGACAGTTCTGTAACTAGAAAGAGAGAAATTAATTTCCTTACTTTACCATTCCTTTGTGGTTTTCATTGGTGTGGCTGTGGCTTCCCTTCTGCTGTGTCTCTCTGTGCAGCAATAAGGGATATTCTTGAATGCCAGGTCCCATTATTCCTCTCTTTCAAGGGTGTCTGCACCTTTATTTTTACATAATCTTCAAACGGCTCCAGTCTTTTGGGTTTGCAAGACACAGCGTATCAAACGCAGACATCGCCACGTCCTGGAGCTGCTGGAAACAAACCAAACCCTCCCAATGTGATTCTATTTTTAAAGCAGGAACATAAACATAACCAGCTCCTGGTAAACACTGTCCCCTCCTCCAGCACGCGCTTAATGGGAACCAGTATCATTCATTACTATTCCCAGTGCAGGGAATCACCCGGGAGTCACCCAGCGTGACCAGAGCTCCCGTGCGGTGTCATGTGCTCAGCATCCTCACCATTCCCAACATCGCTCCGCCTGCGCACTTGGATTGACTTGGATCGCCTGGAGCCGGGCGTCACAGCCCACCTGGGCGGGTGTTCCTGCTCCCAATTTACCGGGATGCTCATCCCCCTGCGTTCTGTGCGTGCCGAGCTGTCCTTTTCGTGTCACAAGAAACGCGCTCTTGCAATATTCATGTATGCAAATTTTGAACCAGATACTTAATTTTTTCTTTTCCTTTTTCCAAAACAAATGCCTCATCAATTCCTACCGAAAACACTCAGAGCGGGATCTGTGGCATTCTTTTATTTCCCAGGAGCTGCATCCCCGTTCCAGGGTACCGCATTGGGGTGCACAGACACGGCGTGCAAATGTGACAGGCGGCCAACAGCTCTGCTGACCCACCTTTACAGTCACTGCACTGCTGTTTATGCATTGCTTATGCACACTGATGCAAAATAAATGGAAAATAATTTACATTTGACCTCGTCCTCTGCCACACGCCTTCCCCCATCCTGTCCCCGGCCAAGGAGGAGCGCGGGGAGAGAATGGGGGCCCCGGAGCGCCGGGACGGGGCAGATCAGCGGCCGCGAAGAGGCAGCACCGGGACAGCAGTACCCGGGATGGAAGGCAGTGCCCGGGATGGATGGCAGTGCCCGGGATGGATGGCAGCAGTGCCCGGGATGGATGGCAGTGCCCGGGATGGATGGCAGTGCCCAGGATAGATGGCAGTGCCCAGGATGGATGGCAGTGCCCGGGATGGATGGCAGCAGTGCCCGGGATGGATGGCAGTACCTGGGATGGAAGGCAGTGCCCGGGATGGATGGCAGTGCCCGGGATGGACGGCAATGCCCGGGACAGATGGCAGTGCCCGGGATGGATGGCAGTGCCCGGAATGGATGGCAGTGCCGCGGACAAGATGGCACGTGCCCGCCATCGGCTTGGACAGGCCTGTTGCCCGCAGCAAGCCGCGATGGCTGGCCCCGCCTCCGCTCCCTCCCGGGCTGCCCGCGCCGGGGTGCCCGCCGCGGGTGCCCGCGGATCCGCAAGGACAGAGCCCGCGGGTCCCGAACCCGCCGCCCCCTGCGCACCTCCGCGCCGGTCTCGCCCCCATCCCCGACAGCCACGCCGGCCTCTCGCCGCGTCCCTGCCTTGCCTTTGGCCTTCGGCCCCGCGCCACCATCCTGTCGCGCAGGGGCGGGGCGCCGGGACGCAGCGCAGAGCGAGGGCCGGGGCGGGGACGCAGCGGCCCGGCGCCTGGCTGCCGGAGAGCGAGAGCGGCGGCCCGCCGGCCGGGCGGACATCAGCGGAGCTGTGCCGTCGCTCGGGCGCGTGTTGCGGCCCGGCGCGCGCGATCGTCCCCCCGGGCCGCGCCCGGCCCCCGCCGACAGCCCCCTGCCGGGACAGCCCCCGCGGCCCCGTCAGCCGTCTGAACAAGCAGCCCCGCGCTCGGCTCCAGTGCTCGCTGGACGCCCGACAGCCTGCAAGCCTTCCCCGGGCTCGACTCGCCCAGCATCCAGTGTGACAGCCTGGAGTGTCCGCCCTGCTCGTCCTGCTGCTGCTGCCGCGGCAGTGCAGGGTCGGTGGGGGTCAGCGAGGACAGTCTGCAGGCCCCTCTCGCCCTGTGCTCCGGCCGGGGGTGCCTCGGGGCGCACCCGGCATCCAGCGACCTCTCCGACAGCCTGGAGTCACTTATCCAGCACGACAGCCTCCAGTCGCTCTCCAGCCTGTGCGTGAGCTCCTCCAGTATCAGCGGTGATAGCCTTGAATCCCTCTCCAGCCTGAGCCTCGGGGGCACCAGCCAGCACAGCGATCTCGAGTTTGTCGGCCCCTGAGACTGCTTTCATCTCGCCTTCATCTCTACACAGACCGCCCTCGCCGCTGGATCCTTCCAGCTGCTCTGAGAGCTTCCACGTTTGTGCCCTTCATTCACAAGGTGACATTCAAGTTGATCCTTCTTCCTGCACCCAGTGCAGTAACCTCAGCCTTATTGTCTGTGGCTGCCATTCCCAAATTAAGTGCTTCAGAAGGTCAGTGTTCATTATTGCCTGGTTCTTTACCATCAGTTAAGAATGGAAGTGCGTGTTCCTCGGAGAAATCCCAGCTATCTCTCTGATCTCTATGAGAACATGTTAAGGGCTGAAGGAGCAGCACGACGAGGACAACAGCAGCCCCCAGCAGTCCGTACAAGTAGCAGCCTGACTTTTCAGAGCAGCACTTCAGCCAAGAAGAGCCCCCAGCCAAACCACCCTCAGAGCAGCACATCCTCCAGCTGTGACCCAGCACTGCGGCCCATCATACGCCGCCGAGCCAGGTCTTTGCCCACATCACCTGAAAGGAGAAGAGCAGTGCACTGTCAGCTTCCTGAGTGCCAGAGTCGTATGAACCGGGTGAGGTTTGCCGATGCTTTGGGTTTGGAGCTCACCGAGGTGAAAGTCTTCCAGACTGGCGAGGATCCATCCATCCCCTTGCATGTCCTTTCCAGGCTCTCCATAAACTCAGACCTCTGGTACAGCAACTCAGACTTGGAGTTTACTATGCAATGCTTGGTCCCAGACTTCCAGCAGCCTGCAGACTGTATAGATTTCTCCTCCCGACTTCAGGAGCAGCAGGTGTGTCTGGAGCGGGTGACCAGCTCCGATCTGGGGCTCAGTGGCACCATCCAGGTTCGCAATGTGGCGTTTGAGAAGCGGGTGTCCGTGCGCTACACCTTCGACCAGTGGCAGAGCCTGCACGAAGTGTGTGCTCGCTGGCACCACAGCATCCCCGAGAAAAACGGGCAGGATCAGGCCGATGTTTTCACTTTCTTCCTTCCTGTGCCTCCTTTCCTCCTCCAGCTGTGCTCTCTCGTCCAGTTTGCAGCAAGGTACCAAGTCAATGGCCAGGAGTACTGGGATAACAACAGAGGCCGAAACTACACCCTCACCTGTCGGACCCACCCCCTTAAGATGCCGAGGGAGTGTCAGGAGAGCTGGATCCACTTCATCTGAACAAAGGAAGTGGGTGCAGAGCAGCTTGTCAGTAGTCTTGGTGGCACTCTGTTCCTTGGCATGGCTCTCTGCTCCTATGGCAACAGTCTTCTTGGTAAAACCTGCCAAACCTGGCGAAGTGTCCCAGGGCTGAGGAGCAGCCAGTGACCCTGACAAACTGTTCCAAACTTCTCTGAAAGCTGAAAGGGCCAAAATCTTTACTGAGATTCACTTGTGGAAAGCCCATGTCATTTCTTGTAATGTGTGAGCAGAATGGTTTCAAGGAATGCTGTCAGACTACCAGAGGGTAAAGCAGCACATTTCTTTTTCCTAGTAATACTCTGGGTTGCACAGAATGTTTTTAACTGAGCTCATTTTGTACTATTTGTTTACTAAATCGCTTTACTAGTTTTGTTTCTAATTTTGTTTGTATTATCTCACCAAGTCTGGGCACTATTCCATTTATGCATAATTTGGATGGCAGACACTGTAGGGAGTACTTGTATTTATATATATCGTATTAAGGCTGTAACCACGTTAAATATTCCCATTAATATTTGGGTTGGGAATTAAATGTTACTACGAGCAGAACATACATGGAAATATGCCATCAGCCCCTCTCTTTCCCTTAAAAAATACCCAAAAAGGTGCCTTTTCTTATCTCCAGTTATTGCAGCAGGAGTGATTGTTATTAAAATGTGTGTAAGGCAGACCTTCCTAGGGAAATTCTCATCTTTTTCAGGTGGTGCCCAAATAGGTTTTTCTCTTGTCCTTTCCTGGTGCACCTGTATTTACTAAGGGAAACTAGAGCAATTTTGGACTTGTGTTGCAGTTGAAGATCTCAAAACATTATATGAATGCTCATGATTTTACCAGTGTTTCTGGTAAAATTATAAATCAAGAAATGGATATGAGATAGATATATAGATATGTATAAGGAAAAAAATAGCACAGGGAGCAGGTTACAGAGCCTTGGATCCTGAATCCTGGCTCCCTGTTCCCAAGTGTCCCAGTACTACTGCAGCAGGACCTTTGAATTCTTTATTTAACTACTTCTCATTGTAAAACTCCAAGACTGCAGGGAGAGCACAGGAACACTGTTACACACCGTCTTCCCATGATTCTTGCACTACTACTTTTATTCTGTGTTTTTAGTGTGGTTTAGGATTGGCAACAGGCTTGGATCTATTGAGCAAAAGATTGTCCATAATTGTTTTCATACATATGGGCATTGTTTTCATAACTGCATGGAAAGTTTAACTTTATATGGTAGCATGAATTTTCAGAGCTGGCTGGCTGGAGGTATTAGAAAAGCTGCTTTTTAGGATTGTACTGTGACAATCAGGCCACTTATTTGGGCATCTTATTTTGGATTGGTGCTTATTTATTGAAATCACAAGTAGGTTTTAAAATCACAATTTTAAGGAACTCATGACCAATTCTATATTAGCCCAAAACGTCTCCTGAGTAATTCTGGAAGTGCAGAAACCCCCAGAAAATTTGTCTGGCAACTTAATGTTGCTCCTTTTTGTGGTACCCATTTAGCAAAGCTGGGATTTCAAGTGAGGAAGCTGCCTCATTCCAATTAGGCTTTGGCTTTCAGAGGAGCCAAAGTCATGAATGAAGATTCATGAGCTGCTGAGCACCTCCTGCAGAGTATTCAGAAAATTCCGTCCTATTTGGAACTATTGAGTATTGACTGTGTTGGCTGCTTTGCTGGAGCAACTGTGAGGCTGAACATTTAGGTGGAAATTGTTTTGAAGGAGGAGGTGAGGCTGAGGTGGGATTATCAGAGGGGAAAGTGCTGCCTGCACCCAGTGTCCCTGGGTTAGAGCAGTGACCATTACCAAGCTGGCAGCAACTTCTTGCCTGGAACTGTAAGTCGTGTCTTCCTCATATGGCACAAAAGATGAGAACTCTGTAAGAAGGGGCATTGTCTAATTGTAAGGAATTTTGCCTCCTCTGCTGGCCCTCCTGTGACTAAGTGACAAGACAGTATAGGACATACAATATCTGCACTAGTCAATCTATATTCTCCCTAGAAATGGAGATGTTCTCCCTGTAGTTGATTGCCTGTGGTGTGACAAACTGTATCACCTCTGCTGAGTGTGGAGAGGACACTGTGGGACTAGTGCTGCCATTCTGCAGCTCAGCTTTAGTGCAGGTTGTGCTAAATCATGCCAGAGTGAGTAGGTGTCGAGTGAGGTGAGCTGGAACACACCTTCCCTGACTGCAGAAGAATCTTTAGTGGCAGGAATTGAAATTGGGTACACTTACTTAGATGAAACTTGCTGACGTAGGGAATTCCATTAAAGTTTATCCACTATTGTTAAGTCCCTGGAGGCAAAGTTATGTACTTGTCAGTAAAGTAAGAAGGAAGTGGACATGCACACACACAGGAGCAGCTGTGCTGAATAAAAGGCACTATTTTAAGGTATTGTTCCCCTCCTTTTCCCTCCCAGATTACTGTGTTTCTTCCCTCAGCAAACCCAGCAGACCCTGAAAGTCCCTCTGGTATTGGACAGGAGCTCAGAGCAATCCTTGGCTTCCTGGCAGAAAGATGCTGTTGCCATCTTCTGGGAGGGACTGTCATGTGCCAGCAACTGTCAAATCTGAGTGTTATCTCAGACAAGGACAGATTACATAAAGCTGAGGCTCTCAGTATAAAGGGTGATGCCAGATGTACCACAGTGCAGAGGGGAGGAAATGAATGTCTCAGCAGTCTGAGTTGGGCTTGTATTGTCTTCCTTCTGCCACCTCTCCGGGTATTGGCACGTGCAAAATCTTGACTACTAAATACTAAAGCATTATTCCAAGTTTCCCTTTGCTCTCCTTGCTTGCCTTGCACTGCTGGAGAAGCACTGGCAGTAGCAGTTCCTGGCAGTGCAGCTCTCTGGCACTGCTGGCTGCCAGTGGAGCAGCTGAGCTGGGAGTGATCTCCGGGTTAAGCTGTTAAACGTTCACACCAGTGCTGGCACCTGTCACATCAAAGAGGAAACAGGCACTTAGGTTTTCTTGTCACATTCAGCAGTCAGCATCAAAAGGCTTCTGGTTAACAAAAATGGGATTAAGCCATTAAGTAGTGGTAATATGCACTTCATGAAGGTAAGCTTATGACCACCTCTGTATCTTCTCAGGACAACTTGACTGCTTGCACTGTGTTCAAACCAAGCACTTCCCTTATCATGAAGATTTTGTACAAGTGAATTCTTCACGAGGGTTATTGCCATTTAATGCACTTTTTAAAAATGTATTTATTATTGTCATACAATAAATGAATGTCTGGTAGCCCACAGTTTCAAGGTTCTTCCGAGCACGTTTTTTAAAGAAACATATGAAATCCTTGTAAATGAAAAGGGGGTTGTCTTCTGTGATTAAATGTCTTGTCCAGAATAAAGTACATTACACAGGATATCACTAAAGCACATATGCTGGACAAAGAGTCTAGCAGTTGTAAAATTGCAAAGTTTTTAGTTCATTTTAAAAAGCAATAATAAAACTATGGCTATTGTAATACAAGAGATTGAAATAAAAGCTTTTCACAATTTTATGTTTTTTCTGTCAGTGGTACTCCTTTTAAGAAAACTCATGAGTTGTCACAGAGCATCATACTCAGGGAGGTCAGGTGGTTTTGAGTTGCTAAACAGTGAACAGCACCTGATGCACATGGTGATAGTCTGTGCAGCTGCAAAGATGGTCAGGCTGCCACTTTGAACATGGAATTTGTTGTCCTTTCACCTCAGAGTTCTATGTATGCAGCACCTGCAGAATAAAGATCTGATGTTGGAAAAAGGCACACTGACTGTTGATTCTAATAGACCTTCATGGAAGAGAGAAAGGGATTTTTCTCTCATTGCACTTTCCAAAGCTGTGCTAGACTCAACATGTGCATTTCTGAGTTGTTATTATTCTGTTCTTTCAGCTCTCAGTGCTGCAGTCTGTCCTCTCAAATCAGGTCCTTCTCACTCACAGTTTCTTGAAAATATATCTACATGTGGTATATTAAGAGCATGTCCAGTTCTGCAAGAACTGATTTATCCTTGATAGGAAATGCATCTCCATTGGGGTCAAGCATTTACTTGATACAGTTCCAGGTTTGAATAATCTGTTGCCAGGTTTCTCCTAAAGCAAAATGGAGACATTTAACTAGAAGACATAATTAATAAGGACAGATATTGCCCATTACTTTTTAATTGGTGTTAATAACTTCAACACTTCAGAGTTGCTTGGGGGAAAGATTATTATTGCAAATCACTGTTAAAATACATAGGAATGTCTATACTAAGTTGTTTAAGAATGTTAATATCTCTTTTTATTACAAAGTATACAGATTGTTATAAATATATGCGTGTAGATGCATAAAGGAGTGTGATTTCAGGAGACATGATATTATAATATCTTGTCTTTATGACTCTTGTTTCCCATTATCCTATACTACTGATCTGAATCAGAGCTAGCAATACCACCTTATTTTTAATAATCTTACCCACTAAAATAGAGTATTAAGCATCACCTGGAAATAAATATGATGGCCAGAGTGCAGACTAGCCAGGATACCACCAAAGGATAAAGATTTTATTGTTTGATTTTAATAAAACACTTGAAAACAATGTGAATTTGTGTTAGCTTCAAGGGTGGGGATTTGTGCAAGATTATTTAAGAGCAGGACTGTTTTTTTTTCTGAAAACATCTGATCATCAGGTTTATCCTACAGGTTGTTAGTGCTATTTTTAATATAGGTGTTATTTTTACATTTCGTTTCAAATTCATAGTTTCTTATATTTGTTTTACAAAGAAAAAAATTAAATTCTAACCTGCAAAGATAGCTAAATGCATACAGAGTCAGTTGTAACTACAGCACTTAATGTAGTGTATTATCAGTGCTCACTACAATGCTCTATGTACCTTGCAGCTGATAAAGACTCAGAACAGCAAGTCTAAGTGATTACATGAGTGTAATGTTAGCACTGACTTCTCTCCTGACTTGGCCTTCTCCTTGTGATCTCAGATGTGCAAGAATCTCAGCTGACACTTGATATTAAAACTGTTGGCATCAACACTCCTGACCCTTGAGCTCTACGTAAACTGGCAGCTGTGCTAAAGATTGAATACCTTGGCCAGAACAATGTTTTCCGCTAACTGCAATAAGGATAAACATTTCTGGTGCTGTAGTAAGGAAAGGTCCCTGTACACAGTGCTACCCTCCCCTAAACAGTTTTGCTTCCATTTTCTCAGGAGTTTTTAAGTACAGTTTCCATGTCTGTGGCCCAAATGATTTCACTGTTCTGGTCTGTTTGATGGATAACTTACTGAAACTTCTGCTCTCTGCTGACTTCCCTTCTGCTAAAGCAAACAAAATAGACTGATATTACAGAACAAGAAATGAACTGAAGTAGTCTCAGTGTACCTATTGCAGAAGGGTAAGTGTAGGATCCACTTCTGAACTCTGCCTCACTTCTCTTTCGCTATAGAACAAGTAAGGCTGGACAGTCTTATCCTGTGTGTTTGCTCATGGGACTGGTAAAGGGAAAGCATCGAATGTAAATTGGCTTTTATTACTTTTGCTTCATATGATGGAAGCAAAATTCAGGATTCAGCTTTTACAGAAAACTAGTGATGCTCCAAGTTCTTCATGTAAAATTTTGTCCGTAGTGGGACAAAAAAAAGCTGTATTACCGATCTGCTTCGGATCACCCACTGCCAACAGTAAATACGAGGGCAGTTAATGCTGCAGTAAATTGCTTTAGCAGGACATTCCTCCTGCAAAATGCCCAGCGCTGCTCACTCCCAACTCCTCAGCGCAGATACTCCAATTCTCACACCACTTGTCATTTTCTTGAATTACAGTGACATCTGGTGGTATTTTAAATACCTCGTGTACAGCTTATTTTTACCTTTTATAGTATTGAGATTTTATTTTCCTTATTTTAGGAAGTCAGCGGTGCTATTTTATTTACAGTTGCTGCAGGTTTTCCTGCTGTGAAAGGTTTTTTCTCCTGGATGCTCCACTACTGCTGCTTATTCTAGGTATGAGTGGAGACGATTCTTGCTATTCCACTGGAGTATGTGAGATTCGTGATAAATATTATCAGCCGCGTTTGGGCGATATATAGATACACCAGCAATAGATACACCAGTATCACACCAGTACAGGTAAAGCCCCACTTTGGCACTGTTGGATTCCATTTAAGCACATTATGCAGCGCACTGCTGGATTCCATTAAAGCATATTATCCAGTTCCTCCTGGATAATAAAGACCACAAGCGTCAGTCGACGCCCTTTACCCACAGCAGGTAAACGCGCACCTGAGGGTGTGTTTGTACCTACTCGGGCACTTTATGGCAGCGAAAACGTTTTGAATTAAGCACATGAATGACTTATACTGGTTTAGCAAACTGACACCCACTAACTCCCGTCTGGGCGCTGAAATCAGTGTTCTAAAAGCCAATTTGTAACGCAGAGGGAGCGGTCGCGGCTCTGAGGGCGCTCCCGTCACCCGCGCTGAGGGCGCGCAGGGCCCGCCCCCGCTCCGCGCCATTGGCCCGCGCGCCGCGCTGCCGGGCGCTGTTGGCTGGCGGCGCGCTGGCAGCGATTGGCCAGCGGAGGGGCGCTCGTGGCGCGCGGGCTGTGAGGGGGGGCCCGGGGTAAGGGGAGGGGGCTCAGAGTGAGGGTGCTGGGGCTGTGCGCTCGCAGTGCCGGAACTCCTGAGGGACATTCCGGACTCCTGAGGGATGTTCCAGCGGATACGCGTGTTTTGGGGGTCGAGGTCTTCTCTGTGGAGAAGAGGGTTCTGTTTCATCCTCTGCCCTGTCTGACCCGCCCGAAGACTCGAGAGCTGTGAGGTGCCAGCACAGGCCTCAGCGGAGGCTCGTGTTTTATCTTTTGTTGGAAAAAGGAATTTAAAATCTCCCTGTATGTGTTGTTTCTGTGTTGCTTAGCAGTACATAAAAGGTTAGCCTGTGCTCGCAGCTGCTGCTCTGCAGAAGTCATTCCCTGTCTTTAGTAACTGTTTCCCTTTGTCTGTGCGATTTCTGGGATGGGGAGACTAAAACTGCCCATTGTTGACTGTCCACGGATTGGTTGGTGTAGATTAATTCGTACAAAGCATGAACAAGTTTGTTGGTTTTTTTAGATGTTACAGAAAATACTTTGCTGTTGAATACTTAGACACTTGTTTTCATAAAACTTACTGAGACCTTTTGCTGGTGACGGTCACCTTGGAGCCCATCACTGAGTGTATAATTCAGAAGGCTTTTTTGCTGTGTCATTTACCATATTTTTGTTAAATTATTTAATCTGGCATTTTATAGCAGGGCCCTTATGGAGTTCTGCTGTTTCTTATATCCCCAGTTAGTTTAAATTCTTAAATAGCATTTATATAGCATTTACCCTAGTGACAAACTTTGGAATTTGTAATGTGTTTTGTAATGCATTACTGATGTGTTTGTGAAACCTGTTTGAAGCCTAAGTGATGATTGTTTGTTGTTACACAGCTGAGTTGGTGAATTGCAAAAATGACAGCCAGGAGTGAGATGCAGGTATGTGCTGATGGACCAGAACACAAGTATTGATTGGTTTAATTACTGGCTTAAAGCACTCCTTCAGGTACTCAATTGCAAGTCAAATCTGCAGTGCAGTGGGGTAGGAAGAAACTTTCCTTTGCCATAGATTAGTGTGAAATAGGTGGGTGGAAAGCAAGAGGAACTGGAGATTGTTATTGATAAAAATAAATCATGTGCATTTGACATAGATGAATCAATGAGGTGATACTTAAGAGCAAAATGCTGACACCTGGGTATAATTGATTTAGGAAGAATAGAGGGGCAAAATAGTTGAAGTTACTTGGTAAAGTAAAATGTTAAATGTACTAAGGAAGGGCCATTAAGGCAATGAACACTTATGTAGGAATTTAGTTGTAATAGCAGGAAAGAAAAGCCAGTTGAGGAAAACTGGGAAATAATTAAACTCCCAGTGTACAAGTATTTGCACGATTAATGTATTAGATATGATGTTCTGTTCTTTGGGTTTTACATTTAATTATTTTGTGATTCAGGATATTTGCTTTGAATGGAGCAGGTGAATGCAGAAAACCTGCATGAAATCTTGTTAAACCTGTATCATTGCTAAGCACACAGTAATACAGCTGCTTTGTTTTATTGTTGACAGCTGGAAAAGTTAATTGATGAAGCTACAAGAAAAAAAGATTCCCAATTACTAGAGAAATTTCTGGCCACAGAAGACTCTGAAAATGTCTCTTACAAAAGCAGCAAACAGTTTGTGAACAAATTAGACAAGCTTCTGTGTCGGGTAATGTAACCATTGCACCCCAGTCATCTGCACTGGCATTGCAACACTCTGAAATATTTCCTTTGCCTTGGTTTATACCAGCAGTTGATTTGAAAGCCTGAAATAAAGTTTAAGAATGAAATTTCTCCTTCAAGCTGCAATTAAGGTGGCTTTCGAGAACAAAAAAGGCATCTGCTTAATTATCTAGTTCTTCTGGAACTGTCCATTAAAGCTTCTGTTGTAATTTCGATTTCAGGAACTTGACAAACAAGAAGTGAAAAGCGTTTCTACTTTACTAAATGTCATCCAGAAATGTGGGGAAAAAATCAGCATAGCAGGAGAGGATGGGCTCCCAGCACTGATGAAATACGGGCTTGTTGGAAGGATAAGTAAAACCAGAAAACATATATGAACTTCTCAAGAAATACATCAAAATTAACCAAGTGCATAAGTGATGCTCCTGTGCTGACCTGCTCAGTGTTTGATTTGGTCCTTGGTTGTTTCAGAATTAAGAATTTCCCATAACTTTGCAACAAACATTTGAATGTTCTTTGTCAAGTGACCCCTTATAAAGATGCTGCTCTATC